TTTTTACATATTGAAGTTTCCCGTAGAATGCAGGTCATCGCGGATTTTAAATTTTCGCCTAATCGGCTGAAATCTTTTTTTCACTTTTGGGCTGAGAAATTCGAAATCACACGACCGTTTCTTTGGTAGCTGTCTTGACACCATGACCTCGTCTGCTTCGGCAGCGTCGCTCAATGGTCTTGAGGTCAATCGTTCATGGAAAGCACTGTTTATTGCATTTATAGCTGAGACGTCATGCATATCTAAGACGACTAGATTTTTCTTAAATAGTTAACCTAATGCCCACAGGAACTGCATCTTCGGCGTCAATGCCCCAAATAAAAGGACGTAATTCATTGCAGAGCACTTCTAATTAAAAAGAACCTGGAAAGGACAACTCGAGGTCTGCGTGCACGGAATTCGGCTGACACCACACGACATTATTACTACAATTTTCGGTTAAATTTTCTGCAATAACAGCATGACTATGCCATTTCCTTAGCTCAAATGCATTGTTGATGCACAGGCAAGCATACGGAAAACGTGCTTTATAGGAATTCAAAGAGGGCCGTTTGTAGGCTAGCAATTATATATATATAGCATACGCGAATAAAAGGAGGTTGTGGGAAATAGACACAACATACGACACCGTTGTTGTTAGATATTCGTTATATTACTGTATTTCATCCGCCTGTTTTGACTCAGCGTTATGTAAGCAATGATAGAGGGTCGAACAGAAAGACTCTTAAGTCCACACGAATTCTTCTATGTTATATGCGGATATTTTTTTTCAGTTTTTTCCCCTTAATAATGCAAAGCATTTTCAAGAACAATCTACCACTGAAGTAAAGTGTAACTCTTTTGCTGATAACTGCCAACCACTTGCATTCAATCATATTATAAAAAGCAAGTGCATACAAATGTAGTTTTGACACTCAGTTTATAAAGAAAAAAGAAGCTTACTGACTCTTCGTTTCCTTGAGAAAAATGTTAATTTAGATTTTTAAAACGCTCACTTGCATAAGAATTTTCTGAATAATAAGACCTTTACATTCATTAATCTCGAATGATTTTTAACAGCACACCATTAACCTTAGATAACTTTAAATAACTCTTGATGTGCAAATAGACGCCTTTGGGTGTTCACTGAATGCAGTAATATTGAATACTGTATATTTCGTAAGTGGCATAATTAAACTGACGATAGCAGCGTAAAGTAATAGCATTGTTGGAATTACAAACTCGCCTTAATATAAATTCCTACTTTCCACCAATCGCTCATTTATAAGGTGCAATGACCTATCAATATACGCGTTCTATTGAGCATTCTATGCCACAATCTGGCAGATGTAGACAAATTTATCAACCATTTCTAACCCTTTTGAGCGAGCTAGATTAACACGGGTGAACAGAAAGGGATTAAAGTGAAAAAAGGAGTATTATTACATATTACATGGCTTCGGAAGATAATCCCTTTATCATCACTTTCGTAAGCGCGAAGGACAATTATTAAGCCACCATTAATCCTAAAAGGAACATTGAGTATAACATTTCTTCGAAAAATACATTTTTACGTAATCTTCGATACGAAAGATGTTTTAGCTAAGCCAGGATGAACCGTGGATGCTTTCCTAATACCTATTAGTTGCAAAATATTTCAGCCTAAACGCAGTCGTTTTTCTTTACTATTCCGTGTCGGTGAACATGGCTTTAGAGGGCTCCGATTATAAAGTTAAATTTCGCCTCTGAACACTTGAAAAATGTGTGAGCAGTTGTTTATATTACCTCATATGTTCTATCAAGTTAAAAAGAAAACACGGTAAGGAGAATAAACCCTGCAAACGGCCGCTACAAGCCCTTTGATTGACGCTTGCGTAAGTATAGTCTTATATGGATATTCCTTTGGATATGCACGTGATTTTAAAATATTACCTTTGGAGGTTAACGTCTCCCCTCTTTTACAGAATCTTTCTCTTCTAAGACTCTAAAAGGCAACTGTCCTATACTAACAACTGTGTACAGGGCAACATAAAAGAACGGAAAAAAGGGATATTAGCTACACTGAGCGTATGAATTTGTGAAGGAATAAAACACTTTAAAAACTTTTTTCGGAGAATGTGCATTAAGGAATGTAGGAGGGCAACAACTACTTTCGAAAAGCCTAACGCACGTTGAAGGTTGTGAATGATGCTTGGCAATAGGTTTCTGAGAAGGATAAGTTTACATTTTAACAGACTGCAGGTAAATAGAACAGCTGATGACATTTTTAAACATTGTAAAAAATACATAATCCCATAAGTTTTTCGAACTAAGTTTTTTCCCAAACCTTTTCAAAATATACGCATGTGAATTTAATGCATTATTTAGGAGATAACTAAGTTTAATTAATCAACTGGTGGGAATACTTCAGGGTTAAGAGTTACCTTAAATTAGTAAGTCACAGTAATCGTCATTTAACCTTGTGGAGATGATAAGCTGTTTCACTTTTTACCATTACGAGTATCTGAGGTATCCTGATCCACGTCATGGCATCTCTACCTTACATACTTCACCGGGATGCAATTTTAAAATTTGATCAGGTCGAAATGTACATTGCTGCATCCGGTACCGAACAATAAGGTTTCTGGACCGAATCGTCCCACTTACATAGGTCCCCTTCTTATAATCGTTCTAGTAAAAAGATTGGGAATCTGCCCAAAAAATACGGGAGCGTTTGCGTGGAGTTTGCTTTCTGGTGCTTAGGTAGATGTGTTACATTTTTGTTTTAGTCACACTGACCGCGCCTGGGAGGGTTCCTTTCTTCTCACGGTAAATAAACTGTCGAGAATATAACGTCTGAGTCCGGGAATACAACCGTACAAAGTGTTATCAACGCATCAATAGACGATAACCCAAAAACCAAAGAGGGGTTTCGATACCGTAGGACTATTTTAGTATTCCTTTACTGGTTCATTTGATGGTCTCAGTAAAACATCAGTATAGTAAAGCTTCTCCCAGAGCTGCATAATAATTAAAGGATTTTGATGTGTCTGGATAATTTACAATGAAGGTTTGCGTAAAACTGAGTTACCTTGCAGAGTAGAAATGCGTGGTACAGTGACGACATTACAGCCACAGATTGTTGCTACAACAGGTAAAGCAAATACTTTGTTAAATAGATCTTGCAGATAAGACGGGAGAAATTAGCAGCAAGCAAAAGGTGAGATCGAAATGGTTAGTTGGATCACCTAGAAGTCTTGCCAAAATAGGGCATGACCTGCATTAGGCCTAGTTTAATATCGTCATGACCCTTAAAGTAAGTTACAAAGTACCATAACTGTTAGGTGCAGGGACACTTCGGTAAGAACCATAAAATTAACAAAAGGATAGTTTGATATTTATTATTAGTCAAACTTCGAAACGGTTCGCGTTGCCAAATCTGTTCTTATCTAGAAATAACCATACGCAAATCTACGAATATCTTCTATGTAGGTTACCATCAAGCAGGACACGCCATATATCATTCCTTTTAAAACTTGCCTTTAGGTGTTTTCATAAAAATGGATAGGATAACTCAACCAAAGAAGAGTCTGTCGTTTATTTCAATCAACCACTAAGGTCACCTTAACAAAGGCTCTTTTTATGTCTACACATCCCAGATACAATTTCTCTCATAATATAATGCACTACGCATTACAAGGTTTAAAATAAACTAATGGCTTAGAGGAAGAAGGTGCAATCGCTGGGACAAGAAGCTTATTGGCCAGCTATTTCTTATTCGAGGCAATTGTAAGGGTGAGTCGCAACTAAGGTATCTAAGACACAAACATCAGGCCACTCAATTTCTCATTCCGGTGATTGCATCGTCGTTTTCTGAAATGTGTTCTGCAAATCACCTATTTGCTTCTATTGAGATGTTTACCTTTTTGACATAGTGAGCCTGTCATTCTATCAACGAAATGGCTCTATCTATTCTTGAATCTGTATACCACTTAGCATATCTCGCGTGACTCTCCATCCTGTCAGATAATACAGTAAACAGTTGTCAACTCCCTTTCTTCGTTCCTGCATTTATAGCCATAATTTACGTTTCTACTGCAGACACACCTAAATCTGGCAACTTGTTCTCTAGCAGTTAAAATCTAGGAATGGGCCAACTCAGTGTACAAATCACCTGTCTGACCTACAGTAGGCGTTTGTGGATCCGTTAAGCATTTGGATGTTAAGATAAATTCCAGCTCAACTATGCATAGGAAGCGTCGGAGCCAACTTGCAAATGTCGTTATCGAAACATTTACTTCAATCGCGATCATTCATTACTTCGAAATTTAAACAAGACCAGATTTGAACTCCATAATTGCATTCAGACTATTAATTTGAGAATAGGGAGTTTTAAACCAATTCCTTTTAGTATAACTCCATCAACAAAAGATATTAGAGGATAAAACGATTCACAATTCTAGTATAAGGCATGCTACTCGACAGAAACTCGAAATGGCAGTTTTTTCTATTGTTTTTATCAGACTTGTGGCAACTACAGAGAAAACTGTATTGAGCGCTTTCTCTAAATTAAGCTTAAGGAAACATTATTTTATAAATTTCAAACTAAATAAAGTGGGTTCTTAGATTAACAAATTGTCGCCTGGTCGCATACACCCAAAACATCGTCAACGATAAATAATCTAGGCGCTTTAGGGTGTTCGCAGGTTTCTACCCCTAAATTAACTTAAAATAGATAATGTGAAAAACGACACGCAGCTAGCATTATTTTCGACTAAAAACACTGTGATAAAAAGAAAAGACGTGAATAAAAGTATTTTGGGGAAGCCTTTTGCGTTTTTCGACGTTGTTTGGTAGTTAAGCGTAAACGGTTAAATGGATTATTTAAAAAAAATAGAAAAAATCTGCCCAACTGAACGTCATCAGGTCATTGAGATATGCAAATTTGTCATTTTTATAGCAGCCTTTTAAACAGACTCCGATGGCTATGGCAACTAAAGTATGCACAATGCTTATTGGACGTTTTGAGAAAAGCTTCGAAATCAATTTTGACCGTCACATGTGTAGAGGCTATTGTCACAGACCTTCTTCTGCTCGGTAAATCCTGAGATGATGAATTTGACGAGGTCGGCAATGGAAGTGACGAATATGAAGGGAACTGGTTTGCAGGTTAGTCCAGTTGCATCCCTTGTTAATGCTGTGTGCATCGTCGCACCTAGAAGAAGCCATGTGAGCGTTCGGATACGCTCAACGCATTGGAGGAAATCCCTTGGGCTGTAGAAGATAAAATTTGTGGAGTGTAAGGATGACTTGTTATTAAGGCACCTAGTCTGGTGGACTGAATTTGACCTAAACTATGTAATGCGTCAGAAAACAAGATTTGACATCAAGTGCAATCTTTAGTTGAAACGAACAAACGTTAAGGATATCACTTCCTTCCCAAATAGGTAAGAATTGACCAGCTTGGCTGCCATCTTACAGATACAAACAAAATGTATGTGGGCACTCGAATAGCCTTTCACAAGTTAGCTTAACAGAGGTGTGTGCTTTTGAAAGCAAGCTTTAATTTTTTTCTGCTCTTCATTCACATGAAACTTTCTTAAATATAAATCGATTAGAGTATTATTTCTATCATTAACCGATTTTTACCTACCCTTGTTCATTTAAACGATAACGATGTGGTCATTAGCGCACCGGTTCGAAAGAAGTCAAATTTGACCTAGCTTTTGCAATGCATTTAATGACGATTCCTAATGAAGTTGGCAATTGCGGTGTCGATGGTCTTCTGGTGTTATATGGTTTTCTAACTAGTTTTATTCACAGGGAATGAAGAATGTTTTCACTGAAAGTTTTAGAACTATATTTTCAAAAAAACACCTCCCTCATGATTACTCCCGATAAGTGTCTGGTGTCCCGATAGTTTCCATAAAAACGTCAATTTCCATTACCATACTATAGCTTCCCTTCCTGCGCCAATCATATTAATTTTGCTTCAGACTTACTGTAAAATGAAGGATTTTATTTGACATGATGTTGATTGACTAAGAGCACATTCGTATTACCATATGATTTAGAGCGCTAATAGGCTAAAGAGCCCACAATCTGTTGTACATCTAGGTTTTACCATGGCGGTTTTTTACTAGGCGTTATAGAAATATGGACAGATATGTTTACTTTTTGAATCTGTTTAAAATGTTTTTCATGGGTATAAAGCGCAGCAAAATTAAAGAGTTTACTTTTTTTACATGCCTGTTTTAAGTTATGCAACACGAATATAATACAGCTACTGGGGTGACCAACGAGTCAACACACCCCTTTGAGTCCAAAGTATCAACCCTTGTACTGTGATTAACAATTCAACACGTCCGCCTGATGACAGGCAACAATTTTGTGTACACATTGGTAACAACTGTCATGTTATCTTAAGGTTAAAAATCAGAAACGTTTACCCCTGTTGGACGGTGGAAGGTATTGACTTCAGCCACGGGAGATACTGCAAAATTGGGGCATCAATCCGTGTTGTGTGAGTTAAAGTAGGCATGAGAGCAAAATGACCAATCGACATGAGGGCTTGTTGACCCGCACCCGGTGTTGCCAGCACAGATGCTATGCTGGGACTTCGGGTCACGAGGGAAGGTACCGCAAGTGAAATGTGTCCTGTGTTTCCGCTACTCAATTTTGACATACCGGATGTCACAACCGGTGGGGAATGTTCTCCAACGGCACCTCTAGAGACGTTCGTGTTGCTACTTTCATCCCATTTTGATCCACGTTCGGCTTCCAGACTTGACTGACCCGCAGTTGAGGCCATCACTCTGGGAGTTTGGAGGCCCCCTAGACCGAGGATGGTGGAACCTCGGCTGAACTGTCGTTGTGTGTTGAAGCTGCCACTACTACTTGCGCCGGTGGTTCCACCCGTACTACGAAAACTGCCGCCTGAGAGTGAACCTGAGGGAAGGGGTTTCGCAGAAATATTCGGCAACTTGCCTGATCTTTTTTGAGTATCAGCCGACGGTGCGTTCTCGTCTACAACTAAACCAGGAGAAAGAAGCATCAAAAGATCCTCATCCTTCACGGAAGAATTTCTGCTCAATTCTAGCGCAACAAACTGTGCAATGCCCGATTTGAGGTGGGCTCCAATAGTGTCCTCGTGAAGAGACGGCGCATTAGTGGTTGGATGACTGGGTCCGGAAACACCTACACTGTTGGGGACTCCACTGCCAGCGCTGCCAAGTCCACCAATGCCACCACTGCCAGAATAGGCATTAGCGACACCGGTCGCAACGTATCCGAGACCGCCAGCAGCGGGGTTGTGTCCTAAGGTGCCTGGCCCGTGGAGAGCCCCGCAGTCGGCTGGGTAACCATCGGCTCCGACCGGTTGAGCTGCCATCTTTTGTGCCTGTTTTACCTGTGACGAGTAAGTGGACAATAAACCCAACACGTAACTTGTTTTCAAACGAACTGGGGTAGCTTAATTTAGGAAAATAAACATAAGTAATAGATTAAGAAGTAGTGCCGACAGTGCGTGCGGATTGAGGCAAGTACACAAGTTTTTAATATGCGCATTAATTATCATGCAGAGCTTGAAAGTTGGTTAACTATGCCCACTCATACGATGTTATCCGCAATATGAATCCTATGACAATTGAACGAAGGGTCCCACCAATACCAAAACTCCCGACTTTAATTGCAAGCATGTCCTAAAAACAATTCTACTTGGGTCCAACGATTGGCTTCTTATGATCACATGTTCAATGTCAATATTATCTCCCATGATGAAAGACACTGCGGCTAAAAAGAAGGTCGTTGAAATTCCCTTTATTAGTGTCATTCCTTCCGCCTACAAAGGTTCCTTTTAGTCAAAAGATGACATTTATCATTCGTCGAAGGAGGTAAAAATAGTCAAAATGGTTCTGCACGAAAAAGAGTACTTCCGTTGCGTTTTTAGTAACATAAGCAAAACAAACACCAAAACGCACCCATAGCGCGTTCTATGATATTTCTTACTAGGAAAGTCAAAGACTGAATTTTTAATTCTTCAACGCACGTTGTCGGTCGACAAGGAAATTTGGTCAAAAAGGTGTATAGGGATGTTTTCATCCACGAAAAATTGCGTTGCGTGCAAACATCTAAAATCCTAGCACAAGGGAACAGCAACCGCTGCATTTTTTCTGCGCCTGCGATGTCGGCAGTCTGCGGTAAAATTAAAAGGACAATTTACATTACTGGACTGTTACCGGAAAGCTTCGTTGCTACCAAGGGAGCATACGTGATAGAAGCTTCGGAATCCTTCATCACATATCCCCTCTTCATGCGATTACTCCAAAATTAATAAACTAAAAAGCAACGCCTACAAGAGATCGGGTTGTTCGCTAAAGGCGACGGGATGTTTATGTGTTTCTAATATACATCAACATGCAAACCACAGCACTTTAAGCTGCTGGACTAGGCTCTTGTCCGGAACGAGATTGACAGACGTGTTACTGACCTTTCTTGGCCGTCAGTCTAACTGTTTAGCTAGTGATTCGACTTAAACCGTTGTCTATTGCCATGCAGGGTAAAATGACAAACAGCTTGCTGTCCCTATGTGGTGTTTATGATCCGTAAAATTATATATTCTATATATAGAGTGTGACAACAATATTCTTATATAATATATCATGTGTTTTTTAGGCACCTGAGGCAATACTGATTAAAGTTTTGTACAAAATAATGAGGTTTATCTGCAACTCTTATCCCATATAATACTTCAGTCTAGAATGCGCCAATGTGGAAGTCGAAAACGCGCTTCCTGTGGTCCTTTCGGTGAATAACGCAATTCGTGCAGTTAACTAGTTATAAATGTGTTATGCACCTATCTTGTCGATAGATGAAATACATTGCCTTGCTAACTAACGTCAGAGGCATGCGTTCCAGGAAAACAAAACTCTCTTTCATATTGCCGCTTTAGAATGCACCTCGTCCGCGCAATCTGCAAAGAATGCAGCTGGAGGACTTTTAGCATATTTCTGAACTTATGCAATCACACGATAAACTGTACGCTTGTACAGCTACAGGCGCGGAGATCATAAAGGGTGCTGCTCCAGTACGGAGACTTGCGCACACGCATGATGTACTCTAATGCAGTTGAGTGTGAACAGAAATCAACCAATCTGAAACTGGTTTAGCTGCAAATAGGTGTGCCACTTAGGTTGTTTAGACCCATTTCCAGGAAAAGGCCAAACGGGTCGCGCGAGGACAACCGGTGCACTAATTATAGGCACGTTATGGGCTAATTTGAATTGCCTAAAGGGCTCCACTTCTTGGCAGTTCTGGTGACCGCCTGGGAACACGCCCAGCCGTCCGCTGATTTATTGTGGAAAAATGACCCAGTAGCCACACTAAATCCGTCGGCTTTCCAAAAATGAGCAGACAGTCTGGTTGTTCTCAACAGGACATAAGTGTTTTAACGTATAGGAATAGAACATCAATTTCCCGCGTAGCTTATAGTGTTGCATGTCCCTAAAAAAGTGTCGATTGACATCCACTTTAAGAGAATAGTTTTAAATCCGAGAGGGATAAAGCAATCATCTAACAGGCCAAACTGCGCGCTTTATGATAAAAAGCAATCCCGTCGGGAGGCTGTACGTGTACATCTGAATGCCATTGAATCAGCACTTTCGGCCTCGAGAGAAGTGTATTTGTAATATCAACCTTTTGAAGCAAATTTTTCTGGGGCGGCCACTTTTCTATGGAACTGTATATCTACAACGCAGTATCATTATTCGTTTGTATTATGAAGCTAACAGATAGATCTGGGTGTCAGCAAATGTTGTTATTGGCTGCACGTTGAATGATTATCTCATAAGGGAAATCGCGTGTGTATTTGTTCGACGCAATTTGTGTTATGACATTATATTTCAGTCGCCATGCAGCCAGGCCTAAATATTCTGACGAAGACCTCAGACTAGATGGGTCTGATTTCATAAGTTCGCGTCCCTAAAGTCCTGGTTGAGGCCATCGAAGCCTCTGTGTCTGCGTAAAATTAAGTTTACTCGATGGCTGAAAAAAAAGTTTTCTTCACTATAGGAGTGTAATATTAAATTATTTGTTTTCGCCCAGTAGCTTATGCTTGCATATTCCACTTCTTCAATTGGTTAACTGCAAAGCCTCCTTATTCGTTTAAAATGCAGAAAATACTTCTAAGGGACTCGGATTTGTTTTTATGTTACGGTAAATTTAAAAGATAAGGAGGGAATTAATTACCCTAGTAAAGGTGAAACCGGGAGTTCAAGTGAACTTATGAACACATGCTCATGCCCTTCTGTAAAGCTCTCACGACTACCAGAACGCACTTTTGATACTTACTGCTTAAACCATATGGGACTATAACCTAATTGTACCAAGATTTTGGAACTCTGACAAACCCCAACAAAATAAAATCTACGAAACTGGCTCGGATATGCTGAGAGGAAGCATTGACAGCGGAACATACCTTGTGGATAGTATGCACGTCGGAAAGAATGCTGAGGCAGTCCATTATATGTGGACGCATGAGCTCAGCAGCACCGGTCGAAAATAGGTGAAATGTTTGGGGATTGAAAATGTTCGTTATGCCTTCCGATATCTGATTGGGCTCTAAAGTACCCCCAGCGTCCATCAGGATGAGCTGAACAAAGAAATCGCATTGATTATGAAATTTTCGTTAATCAAGATCATCCAACTTGAAACACTAAAAATATAATTATTATATACAGACCTGGTGTACGGCTCGTAGACATGAGTGGGAAAATGCAAAATAAATATAGAGATTTTGAACAGTATAGTCAGCGAGCGAAAATTTGCCCTCCTCTAACCGTTTTCCTACTAAGTGTGTTATACTGTGTTTAAAAGGACATTCCGCGAAAAAAACGATTAGTGCCTTTCTTTTTATATAATAAAACACCTCTTAATCTCGAAAATATTTCTATTATAATCACTCTCACACTCAGCTGGCCTTAGGACGTAGTTTAGGAGAATATACATATTTTTTATAACAAATTAATATATTTAGTATTTCATGGAACTGCTCTGCTTCCCTGATTTTTAATTACATCCTTTATCTAGCCGAGGCAAAACAATCTGGCAAATAAGTAAACAAGCTGAAAGGTGGTTAATATGTACGTTATTTCAAGTGAATAGGCATATTTACTTACTAGGAATAAAGGTATTTAGCCTATTTCGAATCTATTTGTTAAGTTAGGAAACAGTTCTATAAGCGAATTGGAAAATGTTATGGGGACACAACTTTCTAGGCATATGTCAAATAGTGATATCGGCAAATAGCAGAAAAGCCTGTGCTTTCATAATTATTTACTGGAGCTATAGTTAGCAGACATTTAACCCCTCTTAAGTTTCAGCAAAAAACTACAAAAGATTGCAGAATCATCCGCTGAAAGAAATTTAAAGTTAGAACCAATGCACTTCCGTCAGGACCTATGATTGCATGTAAAGGATTCAGGCTGACTTAGAGAAACCATAGCGATAAGTAGACGGAACTTCTGTGCTTCTCAGCGTAAGAAAAATTGTTAAAAGATCCGGCAGTATGCCACTGTAGAAGCGGCATTTAACTTTTTTGTAAAGGTTTCTGATAACGGACGGCACGTATAGGAACAATCTTCTTTACAAAGACCTAGACGTCAAATTCAGTCCCCGCAGGGCTTGAAATAGTGCAGAATTCGATATCGTTGTGATTTCTACTGCTGCAATTTAACTGACAAATATTGAATTAAAATGATCGAACTGAAGTCGTGAGTGTTACGGAAGTATCTTCTTGAATATGACTGAATTTGGAGCATGATCTTCCTGACAGTCGGCAACATAAATGTAATGTTTAGAAAATGCTTCTACTGTAAGGTATGCACTTTATGTGCAGGGTGACACTCAGTGCTCTTTACATCCGCAGGATTCTGCTTTTATTCAAAAATCTGAAAAATGCCTGACTGAACGAAACAAAGCGGCATTAGAATTGGCTTGCTTGCGAAGTTTTTTAGGCTTCTTAAAAAGATTGCAGGTGGGTTGCGTTAATTTAAATAACGGCTTTTGAACCAAAGTGTTAAGTATCTGTACCTAAACTGCATGATTGTATTGTTTTTTAAACAAAAGATTGTACACACTTTCTCTATTGCTTCTTGCTTTATGAGGATGATACATAAACCAAGTGACTGCAATTGTCTTTTCTGCCATAAATTAGCGGTGGATAAGGAGGTCTGCGGTCACGGAAGCGTAAAGTTTAGACCGATGAAAATGGTTGATTACAGTACCCCGAGTTGGACGTAACCTTGTTGGAATTTATACATTGTCTTGATAGAAAAAAACTTGTTGTAAACTACCAATCTCTAATTGTCCCATCGTAGACTGTTCGATGACAATCGTTGTGAAAGGAACGGCCAACGGAAGCATTTGAAATTGAACCAGCATGTGAGGGAAAAATAATGTGACATTTGCTTCTAGTTAACTAATCCTGTTTATGCGTGGGCACCGGGATTGGCAAAAACCTAATGTACACTTCAGAGGACTTCAAACAGAACAGAAAAGAACGCATAGGCTCCATGTATGAAACATAAAAACGCCTCTCAATTCCAACTGCAGCAACTACAAAGTCCATAGAGTTCTAGCAGCTTTCAAAGATGCAAAGAATTTTGGCCCGCATGTTTCTATTGACTAGCTGGCTGACTTCAGGGTCCAAATTAAAATTAGATAACACAATGCTCCTGGTGGAGAATTACAATATGGTTGTGTGATATGGGAAAGATAATACCTGTAATGATTTGAGCAGATTTTCATCCGGCAAACAAACACGAAATTTGATTGCGTTGAGTAGCGAATCAACTACAACCTTGGTAAGTTGGGATTTGGCACGTTCCTGAAAAAATCAACACACGGGAGACGTTTTCAATTTTGCTTATCACTGTCTAATGTAGTCAAATATGCCACGGCACTTAAACTTTTAAAGAACACTTGGTCAGCATAGTAAAGACTCCGCTAAATTCTCCTCAAGTCAATACATATGGAAACGGGGTACAAGGTAAAACATGCGGTCAGTAATATTCGTCTTTTTATACAAGTGAATCGTGGGAAATTGGAGGAAGGGTTATGGGGTCGATAAGACAAGGCTTGTCACGTAGTAGTGATAGTCTGATGTATCAAGTCCACAGGGAAGAGGTAAGAGAGATCACGAAAGAGTGTCTGCCGTTTAACGACCGCTGGCCATGCCAAGCGCGGACCGTGCAGGCGGTTCTTTTGTGAATACAAGACCGGCTCCCTCAACCTTATAGCGATCGCTCTTGCTGTTGTTATCAGACGCTGACCCAGATAGTTGGGGTAGTTTGGTGGGACCTTATAAATCGCCCGCGAGGCTTCGTTGGGGTTCACGCGATGTCCGAAATAAATAATGTGTGCGAGAATAGCGCTGGTTCTATTACTGACTTCACCTTTTGTCGGCCACGTCGGGAGATGTTTCCTCATTCTCTTGGATAGGCGTCGACTTTTGTGACCAAAGTAACCTGTTCCACAGTAGTAAGTTAATGAGTAGATACACATGGAGGATGTCTGAACTGGCAACCTCTCATTTCCCACCCTGTGCAAGACTGGGTTGGTTTACAATGATACTCGAAATCGCTGCTGGAAGATTTCGTGGCACGGCCTTGTCAAAGCATCTTCTTAGGCGTTCACTTGCCTTGTCTGCTTGAATGGGGACTTTCAGAAATATCGTTATTCTTTCCACGGTAAATGTGGTGAGTTCTACTTGTCACGCAACCATATTCTTTGTAATGAATCACCCAGGATAACCGTTCTTGGAAAACAGATCCTAGAGTTTCTTACGTTACTCCTCAAGCCCGTCTACTGAACAAGCTCTTCTTGCCCTTTGCGCCAAGCAGCGGACTAGATGATGCTTCTGTTGAAAAGGTACGAAGCTGCTAAAATTCGTTTATCTTCCAGACCAGTTTTCGTATCTTTAAATGCCCTTTGGACGCTACCCTCAGGTCTTCTACTTAGGAGGGCGCCCAAAAAAATAAAGCGAATCCGCCGCTTCCACCACCAGTGTGAACTTACAGCACGAATCTGCTTGATTGATAGCACCTAAGAGTGCATAAATATCTGTTTATTTTTCGGCCATGGCAAACATATCATCAACGTACAGACCACAGCGTTTTAGCTTTTTGACCTAATCCTTTCCAAACATAACCTACTAAGCCTGATTTGCTCATGCAATATATACAGTAGCCGCCGAAGACCATGCAACGCTTATTATGAAATTTGGCCGGACACTTTAGCATATATTTGAAAACACTACTGTGATTAATTCAGTTTATTGAATTCTGCGAAAGCCTTTTACTTAGTAAAG